GCGTTCGTGAAACGCTGTCGAAGTACGCTTCCATGGCTGACAGTTTGGTTGCCGTCTTGGCGCATATAAGCCGAGAGGAGTGAAGCTCGCCATTCCGCTGAGCCAGTGCCTCCTTGAGCATCTTCGTCTCCTCCTCCATGGACAGCAACCTCTCAAGAAGCAGCTCGATCTCCCGGCTACCATTCTGATGCAGCTTAGTTTCTGTGGAGCTCCTAGTACCCCTTCTCTTGCTTTCGCCACCCCCGTCTAGGCTCTCCACCTCCATCTTCATCTGCGCTAGAGCATTGGGACCAGGGAGCTTCCTCCTGACCAGAATCCGCAACTTCTGGCACTCGGCCTCCAGTTTGTTCATCACCTTTGTGTCCTCCGCGTGCTGCCTGTTGAGAGCTTCGATGTCTCGCTTGCTGTAGTCTCGCTCCTCGTTTCGTATCTGTATCTGCTTGTTGAGGACATGCACCTCGTACTTGAGCGCTCCCTTCTCCTTCTCAACCGACTCCATGCGGTGCTGCAGCAGTTTGATCTCCGCCTCGGCTCGGGACTTGGCATCTGTCACCTCCCCGATTGTTCTAGCATGCTCCTGGAGCGTCATCGCCATCACCTTGTTCTCTGCCCCCGCCTCTAGCAGCTGTCGCCCAACGTCTGCCAACTTGGCCTCATACTCGGCTCGGATTTTGTCCACCTCCTTGTTTTTCTTGTGCAGCAGCTCTTGTCGTTTTTGCTCTTGATCCTCTCTGACAAGTCGCACTTGGCGCGTGCAGTCCTTGAGCGCCGCATCTAAGTGCGAGGATTGCAGCGTTTGGCTTTTTCATCTTCACGTAGATACCAGCTGAAAAGAGGGAAAGTAAAACAAACACGAGACTTATCTTTTTGTGAGACTTTACATTACCTCGGTTGGCATAGAGCAGCGCAGATTTAGGATTGCTCACAATCGCTTCAGTTAGATATTTCACGCCTTCATCAAGATCACCTTTAAAAGCAGAAGAAAAACGTTATGAAAAATACCAACACAAGGTCGAGAAAAACTCGTGGCAGTATACCTTCAGCAATCGCCTCCAAGGCCTTGCTCTTGCAAAGCTGCGCATTGTCTTGCATTTCCTCCGTCACCTCGATAGAAGAATCACCCATCTGAATAAAAAAGAGACAACGTTTTTGCTGGAAGTAAGAAATGAAAGATTGCTACCTTCTGAGGAGGATCGTTGTCAGCGGGAACAATCCCATCTTCGTCGAGCTCAACCTCCGACTCGATGATCTCGGGTTCCTCCTCCACTTCAACCTTTGGCTTGTTACCAGAAAGTTCTTCGAGCTCTGGCATGTCTTCGTCGCTGTCTTGTGCAGCAGCAGCAGTAGCACCGGATGAAACTTTTGCTCCCAAACTGCATCCATTGTATCACAAGACGAGAAAACCACAAACAATCAAGACAAACAAAACGAAAGAGAGCTGTTCTCAAGCATCCAGCCATGAAAAGAAAAACCAATCACAAAAGCTACATTCGTATTGTGAGACCACAATCGAAAAATCGATCACAACAGAGAGGAGATTCATCTTACGCACAACAAAACGCGAAAGGCAAAAGCCACAGAAGAAAAGACCAGAAACCAAGAACTAGA